TTTGTAATGATAATTGTTTATTTTGTAATGATAATTGTTTATTTTGTAATGATGATTGCTTATTTTGTAATGATAATTGTTTATTTTGTAATTATGATTGCTTATTTTGTAATGATATTTGTTTATTTTGTAATGATAATTGCTTATTTTGTAATGATAATTGTTTATTTTAGGTTATTTTACGAGGTGAAATTAATGGCAGCGGAGGAATTTTCGTCGACGATATTTCCGTGGAAACTTTCAGTAAGAGACCATTAACGAATAAGAATATGAATTTTCTCTCTGGCACAAAATAGTCTCAAATAGCCAGGAATTCAGGAAGAAAAATAACAATAGGGAGCTATTATTGTCATTTGATATTATTTTTGTTATTGACACACTTTCTTGATCGAGTTTCCATCACCCTCTCCTAGGCCTCCTTTACCGATATCATTTCTAATACTGTGGTTATATTTTGGGTGGAGTGATCTAATTGGTTTTCCGCGCTTTGTTATCGACGGCCTTTCTCCAACATGCGAGTGGTTTATTTCAGCACTCAGGCAGCCTTAGTGATGAATCACGAGACAGATTTAGAAGTAAGACAGTTTAACTCCTAAAAAGGGACCTATATCCTCAGTCGCTGAATTTATATTTTAGGTTCTCCAGCCATTATTCCAAGGAAAGTCCATTACTTTACCACTTTACAAAACTCAACTTCACTAGTTTGCGCCGTCTACAATGCTTCTAACATAACCTGGTACAGAAATAATAATCCAATCCAACAAGACAACCATTACACCATATATAATGAAATGAGAGGTGACAAAAATGTGAGTGTGTTGAAAGTCACAGACACCAACTGTCAACTGGCGGGAAATTATACTTGCGTGACGGCGAACCAATTTGGCAGTGTCCAGCGGCAATTTACTCTTTCCATATTTGGTAAGTAGAAAAGGAGTCAAAACGGGGAGATAATTTGCAATAGGGTTGGTCTGCAATTCGTTTTTCGGAGGAGTAAAGATTGTCTCAGAGATGCTATTCCACTCAGTTGCGTGTGGTGAAAATACGAAGAGGACCACACACTTATTAATTCAACGTAGTTCAAGATGAAATTTTAAGTGGTTCCCTCCCATTCTTTTTTGGGATCACATCGATAAAATAGAGTGCAGAGTAAGGTTTGCCAAACCTCACGGTGAGGTAAAAGGTAATTTCAAACTGTTGGTTCTCGCTATTTCTTTTTCTTCAAGACGATTATGGAAAGGACAATTTCAGTTCCCGATTTAGTTAAGTCCATTTACGTAGCTCCGTGCAATTAATACCCTAAATTACATGAGAGAGGCGACAGTCGATTTGACTGGACGACTGAGGAAATAACTCACAGCGAAGTGGTTGTAAACTAAACGACAATCGAAATATCGAGAGGGCGTCGAAGAAAATTGAGACGACAGCGGCTAAGTTCGAAACAGTGAAGGCTAAGATTGAGACGATGACGACAAAATCGGGACGAGAACCAAGAAGAATGAATCGGAGACGACTACAATCGAGACGATTACGACAAAAATGGAGGCGATGGTGATGAAGATTGAGATGACAACGAAGAAGATCGAGACGATGGCCACAAAATTTGATATGGTGAAGGGAAAAGTCGAGAAGATGACCGCGAAGATTGACACGTCGAAGATAAAGTTCCAAATGGTGAAGATGTAAATTTCGATGACAACGACAAAGTTGGAGGCACGACGGCGAGGATTAAAAAGATGAAGACTAAAAAAGAGGCGATGATGACTAGGAACGAGATGAGAACGAAAAAGTGGGATGGAGACGATACGAAGATCGAGGCGATGATAAAGAGGATCTTGACAATAAAAATGTAGATACATAAAATAACAACTACTGATCGGATGGAAAAGAAGATTTCATCATCGAGTTGCAAATTTTCTTATTTTCGGTTTTTCTCTGTTTAACAGATGTGCCTCAACCACCTTCAAAAATGACGATAGACAGTTATTCAAAGCGGATCAGATGGACGGAGGAACCTGGGTATGAATGTCTTCCCAAGGCACATTTTGTGGTAGAATACAAGAAGAAATCGTCAGAGAATTGGACATTTGCTGGTTACTTTGACGACGGAGTATTCGATCTTGTAAACGTCTCTGAAGGTGAAAAATATACCGTTAGAATCTTCGCCAAAAACTTCATCGGAAGAAGTCGAGCATCTCCCATTACTTTTTGGACAAACAGTAAGTTGAGATAATATTTTTTTTGTTACTCTTGATGAGGGGGGGAAATTTGATGTATTTTCTTATCACTTACGATGATCGAACTTTGTAATATTTAAACGTTTAAAAATAAAGCAATTAAGGTTTGTTTGTTTGTTTGCTCTTTTCTTTTCCTCTTGAGTTAAACCAAGCGAGATTCAGCTCTTTGTCAACGATACGGTCGTTCAGAATTCAGAGAGGATAGCTTTACACAGAGGACAACAAGTGACCTTAGCATGCAAATTTAAAGCCGAACCGAAGCCCACTGGATTCACCTTATGGGTTCCCTATCCTCACAATGTATCCATAGATTCTCAACATCGGATCAGCGAAATAACATGGAAAATTGTTCTTCGTGTAAAGAGCGTGAGCTGTCTTAACACTGGTTCCTACTCGATTGAACCACGCAACTTATTGGGAAGCGAAAGATCAGTATCTGTTAAGTTGGCAGTCAGTGGTGAGTGTGGCTTCAATTGTTTCAGGTTTTTGAACCCATTCGTATTACTTAATAACTTCTAAAAGGGATTGACATGTAAATTCTCCTTGAAATATCAACATATCAACCTGCGAAGAAGTTATGTGAGGAGACAGACTCAATTATTAGTTTGGATATATCAACAAAGTTGAAACGGTAAATTGGCCACGGTAACGATTACAAAAGCTGACGTTTCGAGCGTTAGCCCTTCGAAACGTCAGCTTTTGTAATCGTTACGGTGGCCAATTTACCATTTCAACTTTTGTTGATATATCCAAATTATTTCGTTACCCCCACCGGCGCAGCCCCAAACAGTTTCTTTCGAAACTATCAGCCTTTACTCAATTATTAGTTAGCTGGTGTTCTCTTGGTGCAATAGCATATTAACTTAAATGATTTACAAGGAAATGTGTGAGGGTCACCAGTTAATCGGGGGAGATGAGAGGTTATGAAAGTTAGAAGAAAGAGCTAGTAAGATGCTAAAGCTTTAATGAAAATTTTTTAACTATCATCATCTTGACAAAACACTTAAGTCATGTATAAACCGCCTGTCGAAGCACCCTTATTTTTGCTTTAGAGGTCATTGTAGCTCCAAGAATTGATCGGCCAGTCAAAGTTCACGTTTCTCGGTCGTTTCAAAACGACAATTGGACGAAGGTAGTGGTGATAGGCACCTTAAAATTACAAAGAAAAATTATAATATAACCAAAGTAAAGCGCGGGCTCTGATTGGTCAATTCAGCGTCCCCCATCTGTCCATGGGTGTATGCTGCTGACGTGAGCAAATGCAAAGACTAGTTTTCCGCGCACACTTGTTTTTTCTGGTCACGTAAGATTTCTTAAAAAAAGGAAACTCTAAAATAAAAGAAAGCTAGAGTCGCTTTCGGCTATCGCCTCGCTACAGTGTATCAATGTTATGTTATAAAACAAATGGTAAACGCCACAGTGAACACTATTGAGTTATGGATGCACTTGGGAGGTTTGCTAAGCACTCAAGAAGCTAGAGTCGCTTTCGGCTATCGCCTCGCGCGACTCTTACGCTTCTTTCGTGCTTAGCAACCTCCCGCGTGCATCCATAACTCAATAGTGTACGCTGTGATGTTTACCATTTGTTAAAGAGGTGGCTCTGACTGAACTCTATTTCAAAAAGGTTTGGGTCAATGTTAGTATCCGTTGAGTGGCAATAAGTCAGATTAATGTCAGGTTAGGGGAGGGGTCGGGTGCAAATTTTCTCGGACACTGACATTGATCCAAATTTCTCTTGAGATAACCGTTCGGAGAAAGGTAGTTCTCTAAATTCTGACCACTTCCTTCTACCTTTTTTCTCTTTTTTTTTATAGAACCAGATCCACCAAAAACATTCAACGTCGTTTTCATCAACATCACGTCTGTAGTCATATCATGGTGGGCTTACTGGTGTAATGGCGCACCGCCACGTGAGCTGCACGTGCGATATAGACAACAGGGTTCAACTGTTTGGGAGTTAATAAAATACAAGAATCCACCCCGAAAAGTGATCTTTAGGAGCAAGTTTAAATACAAAACAGAATACGAGTTTCTAGGTTCCACCGCGTACAATGGTCTGCGGAGCGAATACAGCAGTGTTGTTAAAATACGCTCTCCTGGTATGGCCATTTTTAATTTGTAAACATTTTTTTTCAGATTAAACAGTTCATCTACACCCCCCACCCCTCCTGCCCTCCTGATTAAAATTCATACAGATATCAGTGACGGACGGGAAGACGTAAAACGCAAAGCCATTTCGATTCTCGAATGTACTCCTCGACTGCATTTGAGTTTCTTAACAACGCTCTGAGTTGGCTCAAAAACCCACGCCACCCTTGTGATATGGACGTTACCTTTTTTTCTTATTTTACTATTGGTTGTTGTGATCACCTAGCTTACGACACTCAGTCGAATGATAGAGCTTTTACCTGGTTAAGACTTGCGTATGTGTTCAGGCCTCGCCATCCTCAGCTATCAAGCGATAGAAATCTCCATCTCGTATTTTAACTTTTAAAAAGGAGTGGGCTTTTAATATTATCGTTTTGTACTTCAAAGGAGTAGCAGTTTATGACCAGTTATGACTTAATCGTATTCTATGCTGCGTGAGAGAATATTTACTCTGGAATTGAGCTCCCTAGATTTCAACTCCTAAGACATGCTTGGCTGAAATCTCAGGACGTCGTGGGACTTGAACGTTATGTGGTGAACATGCACTGTGATGTTGAATTCAGTGATAACCATTTACGTTCCAGTGTATCGGTCAGGGCTCAGAATAACTGTTATCTAAGTTTAGCTTATTATTCATTAATATACTCGGTTATTTAGTTACTGATGTGTTTTCACTGAATATATATTTTGTTTAATTGTTTATTTTTTATTTGTTTGTTTTAATTGAGTAGATCTCACCAATGTGACCATGACAAGCAACTTCACAGGTCCAGCCAATACGACACTGACAATCTACTGCTTGGCAGTCAACCTCACAGCTGTATCTTTTTCTTGGACCAAAGACTCTATGACCCTGCAGGCTTCTTATCGCGTAAAGTTTGACGTCAACACCATCTCTTCTGTATTGACCATAAGATTTACCAAGAAGACTGATTCAGGAAACTACACATGCAAAGTCAGGTACAAACAGCTCTTCTCTTGTAGTAAAGCGATCTTTGAATAGTGAAAAATGTAAAGATGCCGAAAAGAACCAGTTTTTAATGATCAAAGTCAGTCTAGGATTCCGATTCATCATACCTTTTCTTATTTTATAAGTGTGATAGCGGAGCCTTAGTGTGCGAAGCGCCCCGGCGAAGCTTCATACCTAATAAAATACAATTGATCACATTCTTCATCATCATCCACGAGAGAAACAGCCGAAACTTCAACTAGTGATAAACTAACTTTTCAAACACAGGAGGGGTTAAAAGCATTGCCTTATGACGATTTGATTTGACCCTGATTTCTTCCGAGAGTTACCTGAGTTTTCCAAGCCACTATGATACTTTTTACGTAGCATGTATTCGTTTTTTATGTTTGTAGCAACTCTAAAACAAGTTTTGAAGAAACGATAGGCGTGGCCGTATCTGAACCTCCAAGTGTACATATCAGTCCTCTTGTAAGAACATTGTTTGAAGGTACGTCATCATAGGGACACGTAAACATCCGAGAAGTCCATATTCCTGATTAGAATAAATACTCCATTTTCCATACTTCCTAACCAATCTGTGTTGTTCCTTCTTTCGTAAAAAGGTTGTGCTTGCTCATCGTCATAAAATACATAATAATAAAGTAATAATAATAAAGTATTATCGTTTGTCTCATGATGTGGTCACTTATAATTATAATGTGTATCGCGACGTTTCGACTGCATCCTGCCAGTCTTCATCTGACGATAATTATCACATCATAAGTGCTACAAACTAGAATACTTTATTATTATTGTTCTTTCCGTTCAAACGAATTCGACGTTGCTCTTCATTTAATAGTTTATTTACCGTTCTTGACGACCAATATGTTTCTCTAAAAGAAATGACAGCGTTTGAAGTTAAAAGATTGAGACCCTGGTAAAAAAAAAAAAAACATCTTAAATGGCTTGTGATTATTTTTGTGCACTAGCAGGTCTACTGCGAACATGGCGTCGTGCAAAAGCGCTTTTGACGACGTATTTCTTTCGTCTCAGGGGACAGCGTGTCTTTTCATTGTCATCTGTTAAGTGGTAACATATCACGGCTACACGTCACTTGGTACGAAAAGGTTGAAGACAATCCAGAGAAACTGATGAGCGACAAGAATGACTCCCTGTCACTTACTGTTAAAGGAACTCTACCAAGTAGAAAGGACAGTCACTTGTCATTTTACAGATGCCTTGTGCGAAATGCTGATGGTGTGGGCTCCAGTCCCCTAGCCAAACTAGTAATACTACGTAAAGGTACATTAAGGAGGTTTCTGAGTTGTGCCAGCTGTTGAGGTTCGTTCATTGAACGGTACGTTGATTAAACTATTTCCTGCACAGGAGATGAAGCCGTTTGTGCAAGTGAAGAATCGCATGAAGTCGCGTGGTCAGTGACGTCAGCAGGGATGATTGACGAGCAGCAGTGTCCTTATGCTATTGGTAAAAAGAATTTTGAATTGAGGTTGATCGTGATTTAGGAGAGTTAACTGACGTTTGAGACTTAATGTAGCTACGTCTCTGTTTGAACATATTTTCTGAGTGGTGTAAGAGTCTAATGATTACTTTGTTGTCACCTAGGACAGGCAAGGAGAAGATGCATTAAAACCGGCCCAAAATCCGTAGAGTGGGGAGAAGTCGACTTCTCAGACTGCATTTCGCTTCAAATAAGGGAAATACACGATGAGGTGAGGAGGCCCGAGCGCCAAAACCAAATGTAAGATAATTTTAGGACGTGTCTTACCCATGAGGTTTTGAAAAATATCCTTTTCAGAACTGAACCTATTTTTTGCGCTCTTTTTCAAAATATTTCTGAGTCCGTTTTTAGTTTATCTATGCCTTGTATCTCCGTGAACACCTTCCTTCCCATGATATTTTCCCATGGTATTTTTCGTTCGTGAAAGGTTCGCTTAAAAGACAGTGACTCATTACTCCACCCAAAAACTGTTTTTTTTTCTTTTTTTTTTCCCATAATCCTGTAGGTAATAGCAGTGACAGAGGGTTACACGGTGAGCAGAACTTTAAGCAACATACTCGAGGATCTTCAAAACGCCAGTGCACCCCACGCCGCTCCAAGTTTGGGGGAGAAATCGCCCTCAATGTATGTGAAAGATCTGACAACTTCTGTTGATGCACTGAGAAGACTGATAAGGTACAATGCTGGACAAAGAGAGAAGCCTCTGAGCAATAACCGCGACATCAACAATTTAGTGAAGACTTCTAGCAACTTACTGAAACGTTCCAATTTACCAGCATGGAAAAATGCACTCAAGGTATTGAGAAAGCGTGTATTAATCTCGAGGCTATTGCGACAAGCCCCATGATCAAATCTTCCACTACCACGATTCCCTTTTTAAAAAGATGCTTTCCTACAAACTTGCTGATCCTGTCGCTAATGCAGGATGCCTGTAACATGTTAAACTAATTTGAAGCCTAACGAGTTCTCAGAAGCTCACTTGGTGGATGGCGCGACCACGAAAGTGGTTATGAATGATCAATCATTCCTTCATCTTCTTTTTTCCACAGAGAACCAATGACTTAGCCTACCAAATGATCTCAGCAATTGATGAGTACGGCCATCATTCTACCAACAAGACAAGTGACATTCACGTAGATGCTAACAACGTTGTTTTGATTGCAGTCAAAGTTTCGGTCAACAGTTCTGTAAGTAAAGTTGGCAGGAGGCAATAATTTAGTTTGATTGAAAGAATTCACTATAAATTTACCTTTACCCTCAATCTACACTAACCTTTACTTTATCGCCTACAGACTTCCACGATTGGTATTCGAATAACTCACCGTCAAAGCTCACTTGAGCTTCCATCGCTGCTTTTCAGCCGAAACAACACCTCAGTGACTGTGGTGAGCGTGTTTTTCTCTACTCTGGGTCAAATTCTCACTCGTACCAAGGCTCTTGATACTTCCTACCTCAGTGGATCTGATTATCTCCTCAACTCACGGTTGGCGTCAATCACAGTCAGGCCACGCCCACCTAACGTCATTCAACCACCCTTTAAATTGGCACTTGAGACGAACAAGGTAACCCGTTAATTTCAGTCAACGTTTCCAATGTTACTCTATAGGCCAGTTTCTACCGAGTCGTGTTCAGAAATCATCCATTTCTCTACTTATGTAGGTGGCATTTGCTGGACGTAAGAGAGCCTGTGTATTTCTGAACTTAAAAATAAAAAATAACACAGCTTGGTCAACAGATGGATGCAATGTTGTCTCCTCGCGCACCAACAGAACAACTACAAGCTGTGCGTGTGATCACATGACCGTCTTTGGAATACTGATGGCGATTAATGGTGACAAGGTAACATCTAATCCTCATGTATGACCCAAATCGCCAACGTGTTCTAGTCTGCCGCTCAGTTGTTAGAGTACCCCACCGCGAAGTCGTATCTGACTTGCGTAAAGGTTAAAGTAACCAGGCTTTCGATGTTATTGCATCGCATGTATGACTCAAATCGCCAACGTGTTCTAGTCTGCCGCTCAGTTGTTAGAGTACCCCACCGCGAAGCCGTATCTGACTTGCGTAAAGGTTAAAGTAACCAGGCTTTCGATGTTATTGCATCGCATTAGAAACGAGCAAGGTTGATTTGAACTCCTTCAACCATTCTTATGATTTAAAAGTGTGGTTTCCAGCGTCTCCTTCCTATAGAAAAAGTTCTCTGAGTGGCGTCAGAACTTGAATCATACTGCGCAAAACTGCATTTCACCTACGAGGCAAATTTTCTATTGTAGTACTTGTCTAGCCCGTTTTGGAACTGCTAGAGGTGGAGCGAGAACAATCGTATATTTGGATCCACAGGTGTGCTTAGTAGCCACTTTCATTCTGCAGCCGGCTTACATCCATCCTAACATCTGGGAAAATAAGATTGCTATCTGTAAAATGTTTACCGGAAGTTTGCCTCAAAAGGGTGGCAAACTCGTCATCAAACAAAGAAAACCCCAACAACTTTTTTCGTGAATTTATTAATTAATAATTCCTTAGAGCAATATTCTTTTCATGAAACAAATCCTCTATTAACCAAGCTTGCTCAGTTAAGTAGGCCGAATATTAGCCGTCTTGGTTCATAATAATGCAAAAAAATAACAAAGAAAATATTTAGCCCTCTAAACCCCAGGTTTGGGTTGTAACGCACATAAATTATCGTCGTTGCAGAAAGAAGATGTCAGGCACCGCGCCCCCCTCTCATGGATATCCATTGTGGGATGCTTGATGTCTCTCGCTGGTATCCTTGTCACATTGTTGGTTTTGGCTTTCTTCTGGAAGAACATGCGCTCCCCGAGGACCATAGTTCTTATAAATCTCTGTGTTGCCATAGCAATGACAGACGTATTAGTGGTTACCATGGAAATTATTGATTTGCAAAGCAAGGTAAGTATTCTTCATTAGATACAAATCAGTGATACTTTCTAGGAGTCCTTTAAGGTTAAGTTAATGAGGATTAAGGAGTTTGAAAGGCAGGATGGGCAATTTTTATGGGTGAGTTTACTCTTTCAACAAATTTTAACTAAGAAATCCTTCTAGTACAAAGTTTTACCCAGAAAGTATTGAAGCTTAACAAAAAAAAGGAAAGTACATGAAAACAATACCAGATCCTAACTAACACCATCAATACTTGAGGATAAGGCTGATCTTCGTAGTAATGAACACTACTGAAGCAGTAGTGAAATTAAAACTTGAAAAAAATTTTAGTTTTGATTTGTAGCATTTCTCCTTTATCAAAAACTGATTTTTTCCTTTCTTATTCTCTAGACCGGATGCAAAGTCCTCGCTGCCCTCCTCCACTTCTCTGTTCTCTCCATATTCTGTTGGATGCTGTCAGAGGGGGTCCAGCTTTATTTATCCCTTGTTAAGATTATTGGAACAACTGTTTACGCCAATGTTAAAGTGTTTTACGCTCTCGGGTGGGGTAAGGAGTTTACAGTCCTATTGTTACTGTGTGTTGTAGTTAAGATGTAACTATTGTAAGAGACTTCTGTAAATTCCTGGAAGCCAACTGAGAACATACAGCAAACAACACTTACCTGCATTAGCCCCAAATAGGTGATTCATACAAGGTGTGGAGATCTTTTTAACCCTTTACACCCTGACATTAGCAGTGCATATTCTCATGGAGAATGTATTTATAATAACAATTAGCAACTTCTTCAGTTGGTGATCATTTCCTATATTTTCTTGACTTTACCGTATGATTCAAGGGTGATATTGCAAGGAGAAATTAGATGTTAGTCATCCTTAGGGGTTAAAGAGTTAAACTTAGGACGTTCGTTTACTAAATTGTCTGGAATAGTTCCATGCACTCTTATGGCCAAAATCGCTAATCGTCCATTAGTCGCCAAAATCACAAATCCACCATTAGTGGCTAAAATCGCAAATCGACTACGAGTGGCCGAGGTCGCAAATCCTCCACTAGTGACCAAAAACGCAAATTCGCCACAAGTGACCACAATCGCAAATCGGTCACTAGTGGCAAAAATCGCGAATAGACCACAACTGGCCAAAATCGCAAATCCGAAACTAGTGGCCAAAATCGTAAATCCGAAACTAGTGGCCAAAATCGCAAATCGGCCACTAGTGGCCAAAATCGCGAGTTCGCCACTAGTGGCCAAAATCGCAAATCCGCACTAGTTGCCAAAAGGGCAAATCCGCCGCTAGTGGCCATGCAAAATTGCGCGCACATGGGCCACTAGTACTCACAATCGCAAATCCGCCACTAGTGGACAAAATAGCAAATCAGCAACAAGTGGCCAAACTCGTAGATCGGCCACTGGTGACCAAAATTGCTACTCGTCCACTAGTGGCCAAAATCGCTAATTGGCAACTAGTGGCCAAAATCGTAAATCGGCCACTAGAGGCCAAAATCGCCAGTCGGCCACAGGTAGCCAAAATCGCTAATCCTCCACCCATGGCCAAAATCGCTAATCGTCTTCTTGTGGCCACAACGGTAAGTCAGCCACTAGTGGCCAAAAAAAAATCGCAAATCGGCCACTAGTGGCCAAAATTGCTAATCGTCCATTAGTGGCGAAAATCGCTAATAGGCAACTAGAGGCCAAAATCATGAATGGGCCACTAGTGGCCAAAATCATCAGTCGGCCACAAGTAGCCAAAATCGCTAATCCTCCACTCGTAGCCAAAATTGCTAATCGTCCTCTAGTGGCCACAACGGCAAGTCGGCCACTAGTGGCCAAAATGGCAACCGGGCCACAAGAGGCCAAAGTGGAAAATCTGTCATTAGCGGCCAAATTGGCAAATCAGCCACTAGTGGCCCGAACTGAGAATCTGCCAATTGTAGCGAATATTGCAAATCGGCCACTAATGACCAAAATAGCAAATCAGCCACTAGTGGCCAAAATCGCAAGTCAGACTCTAGTGGACAAAAATTTGAAATCCGCCACTAGTGGCCAAAATGGCAAATCTGCCATCAGTGACCAAAATGGCAAATCAGCCACTAGTGGCCCAAATGGCAAATCTGCCACTAGTGGCCAAAATGGCAAATCTGCCACTAGTCGCCAAAATGGCAAATCTACCACTAGGGGTCGAAATGGCAAATCTCCCACTAGTAGCCAAAATGGCAAATCGGTCACTACTGGCCAAAATGGCAAATTGGCCACCAGTGGCCAAAATGGCAAGTCGGCCAATAGTGGACAAAATAGCAAATCGGCCACTCGTGGCCAAAATGGCAAATCGACTACTCGTGGCCAAAATGGTAAATCGACCACTAGTAACCAAAATAGAAAATCGGCCACTCGTGGCCAAAATGGCAAATCGGCCACTCGTGGCCAAAATGGCAAATCGACCACTAGTGGCCAAAATAGGAAATCGGCCACTCGTGGCCAAAATGGCAAATCTGCCACTAGTGGCCAAAATAGCAAATCGGCCACTAGTGGCCAAAATGGCAAATATGCCACTAGTGGCAAAAACGGCAAATCTGCCACTAGTGGCCAAAATAACAAATCGGCCACTATTGGCAAAAATCGCTAATCGTCCGCTAGTGGCCAAAATCGCAAATCTGCCACTAGGGTCCAAAATGGCAAATCGGCCACTAGTGGACAAAATGGCAAATAGGCCACTAGTGGCCAAAATGGCAAATCTGCCAATAGTGGCCAAAATGGCAAATCTGCCGCTAGTGGTCAAAATAGCAAATCGGCCACTATTGGCCAAAATCGCAAATCGGCCACTAGTGGCCAAAATTTGAAATCTGCCACTAGTGGCCAAAATGGCCAATCCGCCACTTGTGGCCAAAATCGCAAATCAGCTACTGTTTAAAAGGTATTTAGGACCTTGCTTGTTTTGCAATTTTAGTCCGGCGCTGATCGAAATAGTAAAATGCTTCCTCTTCTAATGACTAAAACTTTTTTCGAAA